CTATTTTGATTTTGTTATTTCGGGAGTTATTAGATGTGCCCTAAGGGTGGAATGTAGGCCCCATGATAGGGACCAGATTTCACTCAGAGATGAGCTGTAATTAGCGTTGCACACATGGGGAGGTATATGTAAAAGTTAAATGAGTTAAAAAGAAAGGGAGAGTGCTCCTACTACCCTCCCAGAATGGGGTAAGCAGTTCTTCTCCAAAACTTCTTTTCCTACCTAGCTGATGCAGTAACTGGTTACAGTAACTCCTTGCTTACCCTTGTAGTTATGTTCGTGAAAAGTGCTACTTTAAGCAAAATGAAGTTAAGTAAATCCAATTTCCCTATAAGAATTAATGCAAATGGTGGGAGAGGTAAATTCCAGGGAAATTTTGTTTAGCAGACAAAAGACAGTATATTCATATATACAAGTTTTAAACAATTTTAAGCAAATGATTTAATACTGTGTACAGCAATGAGGACTGTGAAGCTTGATTGAGGTGATGAAATCCGAGGGTGGAATATTTCCCAGGGAATGTCGGGCTACTAAATGATGAACTAGCAGTTGGCTGAGCCCTCGAGGGTTAATGTGTTACTGTCAATGTAACCTCATCCCCTACAAGGCAGCATGGACTTAGTCAAAAGGAGGAAATACAATAGATGCATGGCAGTGGTTGTAAACACTTCCCAGAAGAAACTAAACATGTTGATGAACTGACATTACTCTACTAAAGTGCACCTCTCTCTTCTCCTGATGATGCATACACGGCTTCACAGTGCAAGGGGTGTGTATATGTGTGTGTGTGTGTGAGAGAGAGAGATACACACACTTTGTGTGAGAGACTGTGACACACTCACTGTGTGTGTTTGAGAGAGGCAGACAAAGACATGTGTTGCCCCTTTTAGTATGCTGGCCCCACTTGAAATACACTGCCCCTATGAGTAGATCAGAAAATCCAAACACAAGACTGTAGCTGTGATATCCTGCTTTGAGTAGTGGAACTTGTCCTTTGGGCCCTGGGCTGGGGCCCATGAGAGAGGGCGGGTCCGGGCCCCCCTACCACCCCACCTTTTGCTGGGTGGGCAGCCTCAAGTGAGAGTGGGTTGAATAGACCATGCATTCTGGCGAGGGAATAGGGTTGCCAGATTAGTGGTAGAGGCCGGAGGAACCTCATACAGGCGGACGGGAAATAAGCCGACAGCCGCTCAGACGGAGAGGAGGAGAAGAGACAGGCCCCCCCCCCCTCCACAAGCAGTAACTGACATTCTTTGAGATGAGCATCCCTGTGGGTGCTCCACAGCAGGTGTCGATGTGTCCCAGAACCACAGACCAGATTCTTCAAAGAAGTGTATGCTAAGTGCTAGTAGCATAAGGCTATGCAGTTGGAAATCCAGTGAGATAGTCTTTGGGAGGACATCTATTGTCCTTTTTGCATTCTTCAATGGATGTGAAAAATTTGGGTGAAGCCCTAAAAAACCTCATTATGTGAATGTAAAATGAGAGAGCTCTGTGGACATCTACTGTAAGCATCTTTGCTTTGAAAGTATTGGTATGAGGTTTAGGGGAAAATACAGATAAATGAATAGTCTGGTTTCTGTGGAACAAAGAGCATACCTTGAAGAGGAACTTGGGGTGGGTACGTAGCATGACTTCATCCTTAAAAAAGGTGGTGGAGGGAGGATCGCCATCAGGGTTTCCATTTCTTCCACCCACATGCTGGATGTAATTGCAAGCAAAAATGCAGTCTTTGTAGAAAGGTGAAGAAGCATGCAAGTGGCCATTGGCTCAAATGGATGGTTGGTGAGCACACTGAAAACCAAATGAAGGATCCATAGCTCTCTTGGCAGAGTTACATCAGGATATAATGACTAGAGGCGCTTCTTAAAGCACTTTGTCATTGGCTGTGCTATCATCTATTTTTGAATGGAATGTGGTTCCATTCAACCTAATGGTACCTGTACAGTGCATGCTTATTATAAAATAAGTTATTCCGGAACAGTTATTCCAAAATAGCTTATTTTGAAATAGCACATCTACATGGCAGGGAATCCTCAAAATTAGTCCAAGGCAGGCTTCCCTAATGTAGATGTACTATCTCAATTTAGAGCCCCAGGAAGCACTGGGGAGGAATAACTTAGAATGGCCCTGGTGAGGGGCTATTTTGAAATAGCAGCAGTGGAGCGTCTACACACACCTTATTTCAAAATAGTAATTTCGGAATAGGAGTTATTCCTCGTAGAATGAGGTTTACAGATTTCAGAATAAGCCATCCATTATTTCAAAATAACGGAATGGCTGTGTAGACACTCGCATTATCTCAAAGTAACGGTGCAGTGTAGACGCACCCTAATAGAGCTGAAAGAAAGTTTGGACTGTTTTAATAGCAAGAAGTAGTGAAGAATGACAGGTAATGGGGCAGTCTCAGGAGAGATGTTACATGGGATGGCCCAATTTGCAAAATGCATCAATTTGTCGGAGTATGTTTTCTGCATCGAGGCAACACAACTGTGCAAAAGTACTCTGCATACTTGGTCAGAGCACTGTAACTCTATGTCTGAGAGCCATCAAAGACCCAAGTCTTTAGATGAAGCCTGAGGAACCTTGGGTGTTGGGTCTGTACACCTGGTTATTGTATCAGCCTGGGGTTGTGTGGCAAGGAAATTGGCAGAAAACAGTGCAATTTTGCTGAGGAAAGGGAACTAGGGCTGTCTGGGCCAGCATGGAGCTACTAGAATAACTTTGGCCTTGTCTTGAGTATTGTGCAGAGAAGGAGGGGAATGGAAGGGAATACATAGAGGAGCTGACGGTTCCATTTCATAGTAAGAGTGTCTCCGAGGAAGCCTTTGCCTATGCCCTCCCTGGAGCAGTATAGGAGGCATTTTTTGTTGGCACTCATTGTGAAAAGGCATATTAGAGAGCAACCCCAGTGTGTGAAGATCACATCTAGTGTCTCCTGGTCTATCTGCCACTTGTGCTATTGAGGCAGTGATCTGCTTATTGCATTGGTTGTGGTGTTCAGTGCACCTGGTAGATAACAAGTGATGAGAGTGATTCCAAGGGAAAGGCGCCAATTCCACAAGGTAATAGGCTCTGTACAGAGGATATGGGAATGGGCGCTTCCCTGTCTGTTTATGTAAAACATGCTGGCAGTGTGGTTGGTGTATATCTTGATGTGCTTGTAGGCTATTGCCAGAAGGAAGAGTTGGCAGGCTAGTCTTACAGTTCTTCGTTCCAGTACATTTAGGTGGAAAGCCCTTTCTTTTCATGTCCAGAAGCCCTGTGTTATTAAATCTCCCTTGTGTGTCCCCTAGCCCATGAGGGAGGCATCTGTTGCAATGACATCAGAGGGTTCTGGTGGTTGAAATGGGATTCCTGTGCATAAGTTTTGTGTCTTTGTCCACCATAGTAGTGCATTTTTTACCATGGGCAGAATAAAGAGAGACCTGGTTGAGCCAGCCCTGTAGGCACTTCATGAATAGACATGCATTGGGGACTGCTGGGTTGCATGCTGCCAAGTGGCCAAGTAACTGAAGGCAATCATGTACTGTGACCTGTGGCAGGATGCGTAACTTTTGAGCTAAGTCCCTGATCTTCTCAAACCTTTCAGTGGGCAAGAAAGCCGTTGCCACTGTTGAGTCGCATTGTGCTGTATTGACTATACCAGTGTGAGTACTGACTTAGTTTTGTTTTGTAGTAGGCCCAAGGAATGGAAGCAGGTCCTGACTGTGTGGATGTCGTGGTGAGACTGTAACTCCAATCTGGATTTGATTAGGCGGTTGTTGAGATAAGGAAAAATGATTATGTCGAATTTCCTTAGGTAAGCAGTGACTATGGCAAGCATTTTGAGAAAACTCTCAGTGCAGTAGAAAGTCTAAATGGCAGGAGAGTGTATTGGTGGCGGTGCATAGCTAGGGCAAAGCGGAGAACGCGCCTATGAGCAGGATGAATGTGCACGTGAAAATAGGTGTCCTGTAAGTCGAGGGACAAAAACCAGTCACCGAGCTCCAGAGCAGGAATAATGGTGTTTAGTGTCTTGAACCTCTGTCTTTTTACAAATTTGTTATAGGCCCTAAGGTCAAAAATGGGGCACCATCCCCACTTTTCTTCTTTTGAATAAGGAAGTAGTTTGAGTAGAATCCACTCCCCTCATGCAACTGTGGGACCAGTTCTATGGCACCCAATCTGAGTAGATGGTCAACTTTGTGCTGTAGGATATCATCATGAGCTTGGTCGCTGAAGAGGGATGGGGTAGCTGGGTGGAGAGGGGGAATGGAAGTAAAGGGGATAGTATAAACTATACGGATTGAATGCAGCACCCATTTGTCAGATGTTATGATTTGCCATGATGTGTAAAAAGGCAGAAGATGATGGTTGAATATTTCATGTTGCTAACAAATCATTATTGAATTGGCATTGTGCTATCTAATCTAATTATGTAAAGATGCAAACTACAATAAAGCATTAAAATACTATATAAAGTCTGGCACTATTCAATAGAGTCACAACCTTCCCTGTGGCATAACCAACTTCACATAGAAAAATCCTGTATGATGAATTATCAAAATACATATTGGAAAATGATACAATACTACATATCAGAGGGAAAAAATCCTGAAGCTTGAAGGTGTTTTCCACTACAAATAACACATACTAATAGTGTCATTTAAAAAAAACAACCAACACTATAAAACCTAGTTCATTAGAGAAATAGGGAAGAGATTATTAATCTCCAACATGTTGTATTGAACTTGCTGCAAAGCTGAACAGGACTCTGAAGACATGGAAATACCCTACAGCAATTATTGATCAAGAGTGGTGAGAGGAGAGTGCTACAGACAATGCTTATGCTCCATAGCAGAGGGGAGTGGGGACAAAAGAAAAAGTGAAAAAAAATTGGTATAAATTAAAGTGGGTTAAAATATTTAATTTCACAACACACACATCCTCTGAATTGATAAAAGCAGAAATTGTTACAGGACAGTATACTAGGTTAAATTATCTACAGGAAAATATACCTGGCTAGATTGAATGCATCATCAATCAAACCTGCTCGATTACTGACAGAGATAACCTGTGAGGGGAAAACCAGAAAAATGGAACCATTAAGGATGATAAAAGCAGCACCATGGCTCACAAGGCTGACACATCAAAACAGATCTTAAGACATGGAACCAGGAGCTTACCTCATGGTTCCTCATTAGTTGGTCAATTAACAACCTCCAATTCCTTATGTCATAGTTAACCCGAAAGTACCCAGTTTGATTCATGTTCCCCAGCAACCAGCTTGTCTTGTCTAAAGCAGCAATTCTGTGATGTTCTGGACACAAAGAACAATGTAAGGAAAATATTGTTTTAACATTCTAAAAGAACATATTTTACTTATTTTTCAAATAATTATTTTAATTTGCACAATCTTCACAAATCACTAGTGAAATATTTAAAAAAATAGATGAACACTAATCATACAGTTAATTTTGCAGACTAATTGCAATTTTCAATATGTGTTCTATCTCAAGTAATAAAAAAGGGCAACCCAGTTTGGACCCTGATCGTTCAACTCGACCTGTGCCCCTGAGGATCCAATTATAGAATCGGGACTTTGGAGAGGCATTTTCTTTTCAAAATATCCTTAATTAAATAACCGTGAAATCCACTGCTACTTAAAGAGTGAAGGAGTCTGACTCCGATCCCATTACCTAATTTTTATACCAGAGTAAATCTGTTGATTTAAAGGGAGCTGGTTTTAGTTTACACCAGTGCAAGTGAGATCAAAATCAACCTTATAGACTAACTGAAGTGTAGGAGCATAAGCTTTCGTGGGCAAAGACCCACTTCGTCAGATGCATGACGTAGATGCAACCTGTTGATCTCCAGGTAACCCATAAGGAATTTTGTGAATAATCAATGAAAGCAGGAGCAAGTCTTTTAGTCTCAGGTTTCTAACTGAAAGTGTGTTTCTGAAGTTGGGTTTGTAATGACTAATCAGTGAAAAGATCTCTCATTTTAACCAGTTAATCTTACACGGTATATGTTTTTATTTTCATTATTTTTTTTCCTCTAAGTAACAATTTATGCCTAATCCCACAAACACTTCTGCAAGTATTTAACATTGTTTTCAACAGGACTACTCATGTGCTTGAAGAATGCACATAAACATCTGCAGGGCAGGAACTACACACAAATACATTCCACATTCAACATTTCTTTAACTTCAGTAAGACTGCAAGGAATGCAGGCTCAGTCCCCGAGTGTCTTAAAGAATGCTTTAATTTATAAAATTACTTTGATTCAACTAGTTATTTGCTTGCTTGAAAATGAAAAGGTGATTTTTAAAAAAAAATATTGCCACATAAAGTAATGTAAGATAATTTAGCTTGTACATGTTTGATCAAAATTACTTGCAAACATCTCTTGGACATAGTCCCAATATGAAATTGATCCATGTGCCTGAACTATGTAAAACTAACAAAATGATAAAATAAAATGCAAATAAATATATATTCCATTTAATACTAGATACATTGTCATACTAGAGTACCTAGTTTTCACTTATGACATTACAAAAGTAATTAGTGAGAAAATAAAAGGAATTAAAATTATTGGTGTAGGGTACATATGACAACTCCAGGTAATCTATAATACCAGTAGAACATGATACAATACATGACAACAATCAAAATTTTAAGGTGAAGCAATACAGACCACTAGGGCCATGTTTAATCAAACACAAAGCACATGTGCAACTTTGGGTATGTTTGCAGCTCTGTTATGTACGTGAATTCAGTTAGAAGTTTACAGAATCAAAGCCTCTATAAATTACTACAACACAGTTCTGTCACTGATAAGGTTTTCCTAATATTAACATTTAAAACATTTTTTTTGGAAGTTGCAAAAATCTTACGCATTAATATTAACATTTAAAACATTTTTTTGGAAGTTGCAAAAATCTTACGCAATTCATTACTTATTATTTCTCTGCTAAGGCTCATTTAAACTTGCACCAGCTTAAACAAACTATTTCAATTAAATCAGTTTATATAAACTGATGAAAACTCCTATGGGGGCACAAGTATATTGTTTTAAAATTGCTAACATCAGTTTGGGTTGCCCTGCAAATTTATGAGGGCAACCAAACCACTATAAACTGGGTTTAAACTGATTTAAAAGTTTCATCACAAAACGTTGCAACAATTTAACTAGACTGGTTTAAAAGAATCACACGTTTAAGTAAACTGATTCAATGTTATGTGTAAACAGACTAACTCCTTTTAATCAGACAGTAATATAGGGAGACACAAATTTGATAGCTTTGGCCATGAAAAGGGCACATTAACTCCTTACTGCTGTAGGTACCAATTCCTCCTCATTGGCCATATTTAACCTTATTAGTACAACCATGGCTGGCAGAGAAGCGGATGCAGGAGTCTGCATCCACAGACAAGGCACATGAGGATACCGAGCACAACAGGAAATTGATTGAAATAAGAGCTCCATGCTTAAGATACCATCTGAAAATTATGCTCCTTTCCATGCAGAGAAACAAGCAGGAAAGGTTATGGTATGATTCAAGGTTACAGATGGCTGAGTTCCCTCCCACACACACACACGTCATGTGATGGGGTAGAAGAGAGGTTGGAGGGCTCTTCATCTGCAGTGAGCCTATCTATTATGTGTTACAGCTTTGTTTTGTACTTTGTACTTTAATCATAAACCAGGATTAAAGATGTCATGCTTTTTAGTAAGTGAAAATTCAATATGGTTATTTTTACTGTTATATCCGTTTCTGTGTATGAGTTTTTACCAGTTTTAATTGCTGCAGTATTTGAAAATAATGACTTGTAAATGCATTTGCCAATCATTAAATTAAGTCTAAAAACCTTCCAAATTGGCAAATGATCTAAAATTTATGAACCAATGTGGTCCAGTAACTTGCTAAAAAGAATTGTTAAGTGCCAACTATCTATATAGGTGTGTAATGAAACAAAAGGGAACAAATACATGCATACACTCGCTTCTGATAAAAGTAATTTTCTGTGTGGCTTTTTGTCAGAAAATAATGTTAGCTTTTATGCCACATGACATGATACAGAATGATACCTGCCAATCCAAGCTGACAGCTTCAAAATACCCTACTCCATAAATATCAGCTGCAGGATGTCTCATACAGAGTTCACTCTGGTATAGAACAGAAGTGTCTTTTCAAAAAATGAAAATATTGTCCTTTCCTTCAGTCAGTTTTAACTACAATCATAACCTCTCTTTTTTATAAGGGCATTGATATTTTGACCTTTGCAAGCAAAAGGTGGCAGGAATCTTTCCATGTCATCCCAGCTCAAGCAAGCAGGGGGTTATTGTAAAGAACTGTCTGATACATGTGCTTCACATAATTCTATATAATTTACTGGAATTTTATATCTGAGCCTATGTAGATGTTCATAAATTCCTATATAGAGAGTTCTCTTTTTCCCTCATGATTTGCTGGTGGTTATGTCCAACCAAACCCCACCCTATACAAAGGCAATTTCCCTCTTTTCAAAAACATATTTATTCAAGTATCACAGTAGCAAAACTATAGTTTAGAAGAAGGTTACATCCCCTTTTAAAAAACTATATTCAAACATTAATAATTTTCTCAAAAGATACTCCTTTTGGTCGGAAATTTCTCAGTACTGGTTGCAAAGATTGGTTTTTAAGTTCAAACTATACTATAAATTAATTTTTTTTCCCTCTTTTCAAAAACATATTTATTCAAGTATCACAGTAGCAAAACTATAGTTTAGAAGAAGGTTACATCCCCTTTTAAAAAACTATATTCAAACATTAATAATTTTCTCAAAAGATACTCCTTTTGGTCGGAAATTTCTCAGTACTGGTTGCAAAGATTGGTTTTTAAGTTCAAACTATACTATAAATTAATTTTTGAGTT